GAGTTGTGGGCTGATTACCAATAAAACAATTCCTTCATTTTATTTATTGCAATCCTCGGACAACTTGGATAACAGCTGCAGCCTCAGTCTCACCGCGATTGCTTAGGCGAATGTTTTGGGGATTTCACAACCGGACCCCTGAACTGGCCAAAACCTTACCCACAAGGCAGCGGTGCGGTGTGTAAAAGCTGCAGCCCATCGGGGCCGGTTTCAAGTTGATCCCATACACCTTTCGGAAGAAGTCCCATGTTTGAGGTACCCAATATATCTCGGTGCCCAGTTGAGCCGGTTACCACTCACAACCAGGAAGGCGTTTGTGGTTCGTAGCCTCTTCCTGGTTGGTTTGGAATCTGGTTTTCTTAGCCAACTCACCTGGGAACTACCAGAGTAGTTTACTGATTTGGGTTTTGGCTTTTCATCCTGTCACTTCGTTTGGAAAACCCACCACGGAATAGCAGTAAGTGGGACTTCTCCAGAAAAGGCTGTTTGGTACGCTTCTCTTATAGAAGCATTTGATGAGGTTGACCAACCACGACCCGAGATACCTCCCAACCATACTGAGCCTTCCGAAGGCAAAGACGATAAAAACAGGCCGTCATTGGCTGCTGGAACTTAGTGGTGTTCTATGATCCGACAGAATGTAAATAGTTGATCAATATAGTTACTACCACATCGAAAGCCTCATTGGTTCGCGCAAGTGCGCATGTCTTCCTGATACAAACCGATTGATCAGTACCAAATGATCAGTTCGGCCGCTGTAGCAATCGGATCGACGTCAGATCTCATGCCATTTTCTTGGAGACGAGAGGGCTGGACATCAGAATAAAGATAAAAAAATCCTTTGGGAAGTTTTCGATTTCTTAAATCTCACTTAATAGCGAATCCATCGGGTTGAGTTAGACTAGTGTGCAGGATTTGGATTTTTCCAACTGAATACCTTCTTCCCTTGAGGCTTCCCAACTTCCAGCCTATTAAAGCCAGACAATTTTCTCCCCATATATGGTTCGCAGTTGACTGTGTGGTTCTGACTCCTCTGGGTGACCTGGTCTCTTAGTCGTACGATCCAGTTGCTTTTTCAAAAACTCGTCTTGGCAAAACGTTTCTTCGCCTGTAAAAAGTAGCCCGCAAAGACGCAGTATCACAGTTAACGATAATAACGGCATTATCGCTACAATTAAAGTTCGAAAGCCTCAGTATGGTCGGGGGTGAGTGTCTAGGGTTGCGGCTGGTCACCTTCTCCTTGCATCTCGCGAAATGCTCCCATACGACCAAGCGTCTGAAATAGCTTCTGCTGAGGAAGTCCTACTCACTCCCTTCTCGCGGCGATGTTTTCCCAGCCAAATGAGAGGACGAAAAGCCGACATCCTGGGCTGTAACCGGGTTAGTGGACCACTGGTAGTTCACCTAGGGGAGTTGACCAACAACCCTGATTCCAAACCAATCATCAGGAGGCGTACGAACCACACACACAATTTCCCGGTTGTGGCAGTGGTCACCGGATCCATTGTACATTGAGGTGTATTGGGCACCCAGGGCGTTTGACCCCGTCCGAAGGGCGTATGATTCGATGAACTGCATACTGGCTCCCAATAGACTGCGGTTTTCACACCACCCCGCTACCTTGCGGGTCAGGCTTTGGCTAGCCGAAGGCTGCGGTTATGGATTCCTCAAGAAAATTCATTTGCATTGGCCTGGGCAACCTGGCAGTACTCAGCTCACAAACCAATCATGGAACGATGTTCTTTTTTTATAAAGATTATTGTACCATGGTTTGCTTGACACAGCCTGTCCTCAGACAAGTGTGAAATATAGTAATAATATATAAGTTCGGCTTCCAAACAGTGAAATTTCTTAAGGTTTGATCAACACTGACTCTGATCGACTTCGGATTTTAAGACTTCTTGCTTCTCGAATTATCCCCTCATAAAGAGGCGATCAGTGAGAGTGATAGCATACTACGCTAACCGCATCCTTCACTTCTCGAATTCATCCCTGAATGCACTACCTTCGCCTTCTGAGAATGTAATATTGGCTTTCAGAAAACATGAGCGGCAGTATTATCATTAATGACACGTTCCTTAGTCGTCGAAACTGACTCCTCGGATATCGCCGTTGTGACTGCACCCAGTCAAGGTGATCGTGTTGATAATTCTGCTTTCTCGCTTAGTCTACAAAATTGTTCATCAACCGAAAAGGAAGCGTTGAGAAAAAGAGACATTATCAGTTCGGTGAGCATCTCACTCCCAGAATTGATCAACCGTCGGTCACCGTCAAGTTCACAGAGAAAGGCATCGTTGCATACATCAGATTGCAGAACGTAGTGTTCGTCATTCTGTACGTGTTCTAGTCATGCAACATTTGAATATTTCAATTCATCACAGTTTTTTTCTTGCAAAGGGACGCTTATTGTTATGTATTTTCTCATGTTTCGCCACAGATAGCGCGCGAACCTTTGCGGTCGTCATAGCAGCCACTGCGCGTCAANCCTAATCGGTGCTCTACCAGAGGAAGAGGTCGGCCCCGAAGTACAACGAGGAGCGGTCCAGCGTTTGATCGACGACTATCGCACCGAGGGTCGTAGGTTAGCTGGCGTGACTGCCAGACTGGAATCTCGTCTGGCCGGTGTGCGCCGCTTTCTCACTGCAATCGCTCAAACCCAGCTTACTACGCAATCTCTCGAAGCCGAAGTAATTTGCGACCAGCTTCATTTAGTGAATTGTCGTTATCTTGACAAAAATCTTTCTTCTGTCCTTACGTAACAATTTTTCACACATGTTTTTTTCCATTAGGTTAGCTGAGAAGTTTGCTTCAGAAACAATTTTACCTCATAGCATTGTCAGTTTCATTACGCTTACCCACTGTCTCTACTACTACTACTACTACTACTACTACTATCAATAATAATCATGCTAAACCCATTAATGCTGATGTAATGTTGGATACGTATTGTCTATCGTTGGGACAGAAAGATGTTTTTCTTTCGCTTTTTTGGTCAAGCTTTTAACCTTCAGGATTGGGTCTATTGTGTCAATGCGCATAACTGATCATTCCTAGTATCAAAGAATTTTATTTCAAGATGTTCAGTCCTATAGTTTTTTATGTTTTGAGGATCTTGTGCTTGCTAATTGCTCTGGCTTTTGTTCGCGTTTAGTGTCGCTTCGACTGAAAATAAACGTATCCGCAAACCGATATATCTCCCAGCTACCGTGAACTGAATCGTTTGTTTTCACTTTCTGTTTCAGGTCTACCGCGAGTTCTATGGACGATAAAGAATCCACTATCCCGGAAGCGGTGGATTTCTCCACCGAAGCCTTACCGCAAACAGCCTGGCTGCATTATCTAATCGGAGTGTTTTGTTTTATTTTGTTCTGTAGCGTTGTGCGCGCTTTCGATTTGTCAAGTCGTCTCCATGCATTGCTAATCTTTCTCTGTTCCGTGCTCACGGCCGCCGGACGCAAACGACGGTCAGAAAAGGCACGTCTGATGACAGAGTTACGATCGATGCGTGCAGAGCTGAAAACAATCAACATGGTGCAACAGTTCGCTACCTACTCCAAATTAGAACGGAGGATCAAAGCAACCTCTCGTCAGTTAGATCAGTTGGCACCAGAGACATTGGATAAGTCAGTACGTAACCAGTGCACCAAACCGGTTATTCCGGCTGTACACTTACCTTTTTTGTTTTTCATTAGTCCGTTATTGTTTGAACAATCAAGTTGTTCATCCGGTTTATACTTTTTTAAAATTTTACTTGGCTATCCTGTGATCTGGTTTTGGGGCCCGTGGCTTGAACTGTAGACTCGAGGCGCTCATCCTTGGCCATAATAAGGCTTTCAAGGCCGACGTTAGGAAGTTCGGATTAATGCGGTTTCCTTTTGATCTCCGTGTATGAAAACCATGTCTAATTCCTGCAGAATATTGGAACCGTTTAGGTTCTCCCTTAATATTTATCTCCCCTGATGAAGTGTCAGAAGGTTATGCATTTTCTTTACCTCCGGTCACAGATTACGAAATAGTGTGCTCGAGTCACATGTAGTTTTTTGAACACGTCGGATGTTTACCAATAAAGTTTTTTATCGACGAAAATAGGGGTATGAAACCTCACATGCCACAAAAAGTTGTTCACTAACAACTGACGTTAGAAAAAAATTTAGGAGATTTTCACAATAGGTTTGTGTGCAACTTGGGTGTTTTTTAACGTGCTTGGTACTCCTCATCTGTCTAATTTCCTTTCCCTATTTTATAGGCTTGCTGCTACTTAACACAGTCTTCCTCAATCCAATTTACCTTTACTCCTGTTTCACTAAACTTTCGCTTGTTGAGAGTTTCCCCTTCGGTAGTGTAGACCGCACCAAGTTCATTGGTCTTACTTTCGAGGATATTGAATAACTAAACTGTCAGATTTCAGTACAACTTACGGATACTACGCAACACGCTTTATGATTCACCGTACCCTTTGGGATCCCTCTCCTGTTTCAGTATTAGTATGTTATGGTGGGCGAATTGCACACGGCTTTTGCGTCATCGATTCATGTTCTGGACCCTGTATCTCAGTGTTTCTAACCGAATACAAGTCCCATCCTTTTGGCCCTGAGCGCGGGTAGCACCAGCTGGAGCCAGGGGTTCATGCTCCTAAGCCACATCATAGTCTGACCCACCCTGTAGCCTTTCCCAGCCACATGCAAAATGTGCAAAGGCTGTCGCGGTCCTCCCATCCAGAGTGGAGGGTCAATTTAACGACTTCACCCCATACCTTGCGCAAAATAGGGCAACCTTCAGTGGAATAAAAGAAGCTTCCCGTTTGCAATCCATTAGGAATCGGTATCCGAAACCTACAATCTATTTGTGTGTCAAATAATCCATCATCTCTTCATACTGGTAACGCATATCCAGTTGTCATCAGCCTCGTTCTGAGACACGGTGTAAAGCGAACTTCACCAATCGCTACCATGCATTCCCATTGGCAATCCATAGGGAGTGTCCCAGTGCTTATTTTCTACGTGCTGCGTACATGATGGATTTATGATCTCAGGGATATCGCACTGTTTATTGCAGACTCCGGGCCATCTTACCTTATTCCTCGGCTTTAGATTGCCATACTCTGCCCGCTGTATCGATTCTTGTTGCCGTGGTTGTATGATCTGTTAGTTAACATGAATATAGTTTGTCACTGCATTAATAACCATTGCCAGGAGAAGCATTGACTTGGGGAGCCCGTATTATAAATACACGTGTATTTCCGTTATTGTCGACGAGTTTAATAATAAGTTTGGCGCAGCCCAGCTGCATTTTCCTAGTCTTAACATGTTCCTATTGATATAACCGATAACCAAAGAACAGCCATATAAAGCCCCACCATGGGAGGTTTGAAATTAATGTCCTCCTTGGTGAGTTCAACATCAAACCAGTTTTGTACTTGTTATTTCATCCGTTCGCTCCACTCTTTTCTACTCTTCAGATCATGCGATTTGTCGGGATCAAGGTGGTGCTGTTCGTTTGCGAAGGTGTTCTTACAGGTTGGCTTATTTCACGTTGTCCACCTGAAACATTCAACAAACTGGAATTGAATGATGCTCAACTTCGCTATTCGTTTTTGTTCCCATTGGTGCGAATCCTATATTATTTACCCGCCAAACTGGTCGTGCTTCTCTGGGTTGGTCTGTGTCACTGGTTTTGTGTGCCAATCAGTAAATGGATTCGTTCGAAACGTTCACGAGTGCTCAGCTCTCCTCCTGTTGAACAAATGTGCACTCCGAATGAGATGGATTGATGCAGATTCAGCGTACCGTGACTTTCCGGTTATCTTGCAGCTGTATCCAGACTAAACTCAGTCGTTTTTGCCGTTTGTGTACAGTTCAAGCCATCCGGGACGCGTGCCGACTATGTTGTCTCAGTTTCCGTTTGTCTCCTCGTGGTGTACACAGTTATTGGCTGGTGTGCAGGTGCCTTTGAATCGTCCCAAATATATCTGAATATATGTATCTGAGTATGCCTTTTCTCCATTTTCATACTTCACCGCCACCGACCGGTGTGCTTGTAACTAGTACTGTCACCGCTCTGAAATATACTTTGTGATTTACGTGGTTTGTTTTGTCCCTGTATATTTCTCCTCATCACAAATCAAAACTCATCAAATTTTGCGATATACGACAAACTGGAAGAGCGATGTAGGTAATCGGAATTTAGCGAAAATCATCTGAACACTAGCGAAAGTTTTGCAGTAAGCCAACGATCGTCTGTTGATGGGTTTTCTGGCGCTTATTTGAGCTATAAGCAACTCACGCGTTGCACCTTTCTACCCCACGTTATTTGTGATAAGCCGCATACAGGTCTATGTATCACATATTAAGACGGATTGAGTCCTCTAGGTAGTTGAGCTATCAACGTTAACTAAGTGGTAGTTCCCTCAAACAGTTCCAGAAACAAACAGAACCATGCGATTATTAACCTCGTCGACTGAAACGTGCGGACTATGTTTGTGACGACACCTGCAGATCAAACTTTGCACATCCAACGATGCTGTACTACCTATCGCGACAATTGATAATCCCGCGGTGGTGCACGAACAGGTGATTTGCACCTCATCAAAGAAACCGTCTGTGCCGTCCTAAAAGTCTCACANACAGATAGCAGTAACAAGATGTTAAAACATCTCAGTGTAATGGAGAAATTGGGCGTCTCTTGGCTTTCGACTGATCTAAAATATTTATTTACCGGAAAGTGAATGAAAACAGTGAACCGACTGGAATGCTTTGCCGTTAGTTCGATCTTCTGAAGGGGTGTGATTATGCAACCAGACGTGTTGTTCCTAGAGAGTAGCGGTTTACGAAATTTTAGATCCTGGTTGCCCAATGTTGACTAGATTCATTGTCACAGATGTGACCCTGAAACGCCCCTTATAACGCCACCACTTTCATGTCCTGAATACGCAGGCAGAGATTACCTTTTGATTCATCCCAAGTAGCGGTCCCGAACCCCTGTCCTAATAAAGGCGGGGTCGACCATTCGGGATCTTTGGATATTGAAACTGGCAAAATATAATGTCTAGCCAATGCGCGGATGTTCTTTAACCTTTTATGATGCCTTAATTTTTTTCGTTGGATTGGTGCGAACCGGAGATATTCGCGGATCAAGTGTAAACATGTTGCACCGGCTTCAGAAACGGCATCATGACAACAGACTGAATGGAGGGATTTAAGTACAATGAGCGGAAATGGTTTACATAGAACAAGGAGCACACTAATATCATTGATTGTTGTGTTTAAACTTACTTCGTTTTCATGAAGAACGGGATTTCAACTGGCAAACCGCACAGCATTTACGTCACCGATTTCTGTTCTGAGTCAAAATTCAGCTTCTCTACTCACCTGCAATTTTCATCCCTTCGGCCCCAATCTAGAATGCAGGAAGCACCAACCAAAGCTAACTTCTTAGACCCCTATGCCAAGTTACTGTCTGGTCCACTGGGCTGCTTCTCTCTGAATGAATGAATACATTTATTCGGAAAGGTAGACGATAGGTAATGAAACAAAATGTCTCAAATAATAAGAACCACTGCGACGTGCGCCATTCGCTCGAAGGAACGTTGGATGATGGTGCCTTGAGCGGTGCAATTCGGTTGGCTGAGCACCGCAAAGGGTAATTGGAGTATTGTACGAAGAATTTGAATTCAGGTTGTGTGAAGCACAAATTTTAGTTGGATATCCCGATTGCCCATTTACCCAAATGACAAACAAACATCGACGTATCAAAAAGTGTGCAATAAGTAAAATAAAAAGCATTATTGTTTTTTTGGTTGTATTTACTCATCTGTTCTTCACATCATTCTCCCGATCGCGCGCTTTTCTAATAATATTGTTTTTGCGTTTGCGTCATGCTTGTTCGCAAACTAATGATCTATTTGTACAAAAAGTAGGATCTTAATAAATACAAAATTTCCCTGAAGCACCCAACCAGTTTTGCGGTTCTTTCCGCCCATCAGGCATGTGTATTCAGTAGTCTCTTATCAGATCATTCACATACTTGTACTCAGGTAACGTATTTTCCATACATACTTTATTTACAACGCTGGGTGTATTTGTTTGGACAGGAACATCTGAAGCAGTCCATTTATAAACAACGACTATGATTCGATGGTATTTCTGAAACGAAAGTTATCATCTTCAATCTGACAGTTATTACAGATTTTAAACATGTCACTGGGTAGATTGCTCGCATCTGTACTTGGTCGATACAATTTCTTACTGCCGAGGTACATTATTCAAGCATCACCGTTGACTGATTATACGTCATTCGATACCCGGGAGATGATTTGGACTAGGAAACTAATTTTGTCAAAAAGGAAATCAAACTATCCCATTGAAGTGTGGTAAATTTGGTAGATAAATAACCCAACAGTTGTGTATTCTGAGCTGCGTTTAATGTGATGTTAAACAATTGAATGTTAAGGAATCAAAACCTAAGCTGAATAGATTGCACGAAACTCATTGTAGGATAGCAGCTTGCAACGCGTCACCGGGTCGAGTTTCGCACTATACAGTTCACCGTAATCGCCTAGTCACTATGAATTGTGGGTGTTGGGTAATTATTCAATGAAGGTTGGCCGTATGCCAAAAGGATTTCGTTTATGTCGCCTTAATCCTGCTGTTAGTAATCCTCCTTTAGAACCTTGTTAATTTTGTAGGATCCAAAAAAATATTGCAGAAATGTATGTAATTTAAGTTTTATATATTCTCTGCCCAAATGTGGTAGAACTGAAGTTAAATTATACATTATTGCCATTAAGCATAACTGACTTGTAGTCCGTGAGTTATTCTCATCTTAAACTCATGATCGGCAGAAATTTTCGCATTATTCACACGCCTAATTTTTCAATATATGCAAAATATTGGCTCGGTCACTCGCTATGCTGTTAGTTTGGAGCACCTGAAACAGTCACTCCATTCTCTTACGGAAAATCACAGTTAGATGCGGACTACTCGTAACATACGTGCACTGGTATTCCAAGGGCTGCGAATTTCGTCAAAAAGATGTATCGAAGTAGGAAAGCTATTAGGTGATTTAAAAACGCTCAGTCATGTTAGCAAATGTTCGCAGATCTGTTTCAATGTAAGGGGTCAATACATAGAAACAACATTCACTAAGCGTCTACTTTAGCAGCGTTCATCCTACTGAAAATGGAGCTCCCGTAGCCTGGGATTAGTCAACCTCTCCAATAGGTATAAACGATTTGTGTCTAACGGAGGATATGGTGAGAAACTATCTAGAGCCTGATTGAGGACAATTCGGCTGGACCTGAAGGCATTCACTCAGCCATTGTGAAACCATTGGCGGGCATCTTAGCTTGACCATTGAGTAAGCTATATACGTTAAGGCTAGAACAAGGTGTTCTACCGCAAGACTGAAAAACAGCCGCCGTGGTGGCCATACATAAGGGGGGGGGGTAGGTCAGAGGTGTGTAACTGCTGACCGGTAAGCCTAAATAGCATTCTTGGGAAGGTACTGGAGAGCATTATCACATCTTTAAGCACTGAATGGACTATTCTATGCTGTCCTCAGCATGGGTTCCCGAAAATTGGGTCGTGTCTCACCAGTCACTTGAACGTTTTAGATGAATGAACTCGCAGGTTTGATGAAGGCAAGAACGTAGAAGTAAGCTACCTTGACTNGAATCATCGTCTACTGTTAATCAAGCTGAAAGCCGTCGTCATAGGGGGACAGCTGGATACAGCTGGATAACTGACTTCCTAAATGGTAAAACTTTTTAGGTAAGTAAAAGTAGGTAACTCCAATTCCTATCTGAGGAACGGCAGTAGTATAGTATCTCGGGATCTTTATTAGGATCCAGACTATTCCTGCTGTCTATAAATGCCAGAGGTATTCATACTTCTGTACTAGACTATAGCCAGGTCCCACTTAGAGTATTGTTTCCAGGCCTGAGTGTGTTCAACCGTTGGCAGTGGGAATGATTAAGGGATAGCAGGGTAAAAGTGTACGGTGACAGAAAAAGTTTTATTCCATTTATTTGTACTTTTCCGTTTTAACAGTTCCGTCTATTCTTACTATGTTCTGTATCCCACCCCCCATCCCGTTATTGTTATTATTGTGGCGTTGGCACCATGGTTTTCCACAAACCGTTCTCATATATATATAGCACGGTAAGGGCTTCAGGACATTGGACTATTGTCTTTGGGAAAGAGAAAACTCTGGGAGATATAATAGAAACTACTAAGATAATGGAGGGTTTCTCTGGTTTTAGACCAGAAACCCTGTTCCTGAAGACGATAGAGTCACAAACAAGGGGGCACGGAATGAAACTAGCCAAGATCCGGTCGAGAATAACCGCTCAACCAGAGTTCTTCAACAACAGAGTAGTCAACTCATGGAACAAGCTACCAGTGGTGTTAATAGAACTATCATCATCGCGACGAGACTGCACTTTGATGTGGTATGATGGCTTGCGTGCCTCAATAACCCTGCGAGCTACACTGGATGGCTTTTCTCGTCCGCAGATAAAATCATGCCTGAAAGGTCAACGGGTAGAGGCCAGACAAAGCTCAGTCTCACAAAACCAGCTGCTTGGGCAAATCCTGGCTTCCTTCTTTCCGCTTTTCTCATTGGGTACAAGAGGATAATGGCAGATCCCGAAACGCGGACAGATAATCGACGCACCAACGAACAACACACTTAATCGAAATTCAAAGACATTGCTTGATAGGTCTCTAGAATCTCCCACACGAGTGCTTCGTTCACGCCCCCGCATTGGATTTA